GTGGTATGTATACACAAGGAATATTACTCAGCCAAAAAGAAGAATGATTTTATGACCTTTGCTGGTAAATGGATGGAATGGGAGACTGTCATGCTAAGTGAAATAAGCTATTCCCAATTAACCAAAGGCTGAACGTTCTGATATGTGGATGCTAACACATAATAAGGGCAGGGGCCGGGGAGGAGGGAAGAATAAAAGTTCACTGGATTAGACAAAGGGGAATGAATGGAAGGGAGGAGGGATAGGATTAGGAAGGACAGTAGAATAAATCAGATATAACTTTCCTATGTTCATATATGAATACATTACCAGTGTAATTCCACATCATGTACAAACCATAAAAACAGGAAGCTATACTTCATACATGTATGATATGTCAAAATGCATTCTACTGTCATGTAACTAAAAAGAATAGATTAAAAAATGTTTAAAAAGGCCATTATTTGTCATTTTGTTGGTATATATGCATCCATGTCTCTGTTTAAGTACTGCATCCATGGATTCAACCAATCTCAAACTCATTTAAACTTTTCAGCATGATCTAAATACTTCTGGGTTGTTTTATCATTCCTGGGGAGGCCTTACATCTAGGAGTTGAGTGGTGCTGGAGTCTGGACTGCTGCTTGCTTGCCTGGTGGATAGCTCTCATCCAACAGTCTTCCTTTGCCACCATCCTGGCAATTTCATTTCACTTTACTCAGTTGGGTCCTGTTTAATCTTTGGATTATTCACTCCTAACTATCCATTCTCTAAAAGAGGAAACTTTTTTTTGAGGTCTTCTAAGAATATTTTAATTTTATCCTAAACTTATAGAATGGAATTATTTTCTCTTAGAATTGTGAAGGTATGGTTTCATTGTCTTCCAGTATCCACTGTTGCTGCTAAGTCTTGAGTTATCTCATTCCTGTTTCTTTGTATGTGACGTGTTTTCTTTCTGGAGTTTGTAAGGTCTGAATTCTTGGTATGCATTCATGGTAAAGTGACTTAGTGTGGGCTTTTTCTTTCTTTCTTTTTTTTTTTTTTAATATTTATTTATTTATTTATTTTTAGTTTTTCGGCAGACACAACATCTTTGTTTGTATGTGGTGCTGAGGATCGAACCCGGGCCGCACACATGCCAGGCAAGCGTGCTACCGCTTGAGCCACATCCCCAGCCCTCTTTTTCTTTTTTTAATATCTTTATTTATTTTTATGTGGTGCTGAGAATCAAACCCAGTGCCTCACTAGTGGGAGGTGGGCGCTCTACCAATGAGCTACTGCCCCAGCCCCAGTGTGGGTTTTTTCTTCATTCTGGTAAATTTGTATCCTCAAAGAGATAAGATGTTGCAACTGAAAAATAACAGAATGATATTAAAAAGCAACATTCAGAAATAAAAAAAGATCTGGAAATTAGAACTATAAGAATAAAAATGAAAGATTCAGTAGGGGAGGAGTTAGAATATAAATTGGAGAAAAATTTCCCAGTAGGTTGAATAAATATACAAAGAGTAGAAACCAGGAAGGAGGGAGGGAGTGAAGGAGAAAGGGAGGGAGGGAGTGAAGGATAAAGGGGAGGAGGGAGTGAAGGAGAGAGAGGAGAGAGAAACTTAGAGTGGGGGAGTGAGGATGGGAGGAGCTAGAGTGAGGAATGTGAAGGAGCAGGGAGGGCACACAACAGAAAAAGGATCAATTCAGGAGAATTTTAGCATGTTAATAATAGGTGTTAAAGAACAGAAAATGAAAAGAAAGAAATTAAATTTTTTTTTTTTTTTTTTAGTTGTAGGTGAACTTATTTTTTTTATATGTGGTTCTGAAGATCCGTACCCAGGGCCTCACATGTGCTAGGCGAGCGCTCTACGGCTGAGCCACAACCCTATCCCTGAAAAGAAAGAAATTTGAAAAGGACATGATTTTGTCTTTGCTGCTTTAGGATTTTCTCAAATGTGTGATGGTCTTTGGGTGTCTGTATTTAAGAGTGGGAACTTGGTAAGAGGGCAGGTCTTATGTATTGGTGTGGATCATAGTGATTGGGTAAGATTACTAACTATTTTGTTGACAACTCCTAAATATTTGTCTTTGCAGAAGTTTATTCTTGGGCTGTCATTTTCCCCAGAGATTTCTTTGATCTTCCAGTAGAATGAGAGGGCTAAGGAGTCCCATCTCAGCATGTGTTTTTTTTTTTTAACCAGCTGGGCAGGTTCTTGTACTCCCCATCAGAAGACTCAGATAAAGGCACAGCTGCAGCAGAAATCAGACTCTTCATTGGGATGTTTTGTTCCAGTGAGAGACACAGCACTGACCAAGAGAGTGTCAAGCTGGCTTTCCAGACAAGAGGAGAGAGCCAGTCTTATTCTCATGGAATGGGTGGGTTTGAGTTTAGGAATATTAATTGCCTTTAGGTGAATTTTAGAAGGTGTTTTTCTTTTCCTTGGTGAGCACTTTAACCTTGAGGAAGGGATAGTCAGCCAGTCATCCAGGTGCCAAATGTTGTCTGTCACACTAATTCTATGCCCTACATAAACATCTTTGCCCTGTGATAGGGATGAGTTGCTGTAGCTGTTAAAAGAGCACATAGGTAGGAAATGGAAAAGAACACAAATCATGACAAGTAACACTTCCTGTGAATATGCGACTTTGGGGATTCCTCAATAGTTTTATCCTTTGTTTGCCTGGGACAGGCTGGTGGGATCATCCTGCCCTAATGATGCATGTGGTTTCTGAAGCTAGTAAGGTTGTATGTGGATGAGTAAGGCACATACCACGCCTTTAATTGCTGATAGGCTATGAGTTGAACTCCCTGGAGAGGGTAGGAACTGTCTCATTACCCCCCTCAGAACTTTTGCTTTACTAAAGGGTGCTGCTTTCCATGGGAGTCTCTGACTCACTCACTTTGACTTAAGTACTGGTGTCCAGTAAGGTAGTGGACTCATTCCTAAGCCCATCTGAGCTTGGTGTCCAAGGCTAGGATTTTTGTTTATTTATCCTCTCTAGACAGTATACCTTTCATCATCTGTGGTAGTCCGGAGAACATGGGGCTGAGTGGATGGGAATCGGGGGGTTTAGGTGCTCTCTGAAGAGATTTGCAAACATTTCTATAGTTGTCAGCCCCATTCTTCACATCTCTTCTGCAAGGTAACTGCACATTGATAATTTCTGAGCCTTTAAGGGATTCTCCTAAGAGAATCTGCTTATTTCTTATTGGTTCTTTCCTCTCACAGAATTCTTACAGGGCATAGAAAGCTAACATTTGACAGTTATCCGTCTCTTTCTTTCAGAGTGTTTTGATAGTTCTATTTGCTGTCATGTTATTTCCCATCCCTTTTATCCTGTGAGTTTATGATTTTTTTTTTTTTTGGGTAGTAGGAATTTTGAACTCAAGGGTGCTCTACCACTGAGCTAGATTCTCCAGCCCAGCCCTTTTTATTTTTTACTTTGAGATTGGGTCTTGCTAAAATTGTTGAGACTGGCCTCAAACTTGCTATCCTCCTGTCTTAGCCTCCCAAGTTGCTGACATTACAGGGTCTGTCTGACATTACAGACACTCTGTCTGTCTCTGAGTTTATAATTTCTATTTATTTATTTTGGAGTGCTGAGGAAAGAACCAAGGTCCTCACACATGCTAAGCAAGTGTTCTATTGCTGAGCTATCCCCCGCCCCAGTTTATAGCTTTGTTTTGTTTTGGTACTAGAGATTGAACTCGGGGGGCACTGGACCACTGAACCACCTCCCCAACCCTATTTTGTATTTTATTTAGACAGAGGGTTTCACTGAGTTGTGTAATGCCTCGCTTTTGCTGAGGCTGGCTTGAACTCATGATCCTCCTGTCTCAGACTCCTGAGCCACTGAAATTACAGTCATGTGACAGACCCCAATTTCTAACTTTTAAATATCACTTTGTTATACTTTTAGTGAGACTTCACAAAAAAAACAGGTAAATGTAAACTCTCAACTTGAATCATTGATTCAGTCATTTGAATGTCATGAATACTATGGCCCTGTACTTTTCTTGCTGCTTCTTGTTATAAAATACAGAACTGGCAGATGTTCTTGCCCTCCTGTGGTTTAAATGTTTGTTGTGAAGATTGACACTATTCAAGACAAGTATTGAGATGTAGTATATTAGATAATGGTTAATGTTAGAAAAATAAAAAGGACATGGATTAGGAAATACTATGTGGAGAGTTGTAATCTTTTTAGGTATATGGTTATGGAAAGTTTGTTCAGAAGGACTATTTGAGTAAAGACCTTAAGAATCAAGGGAGCCAATCCCAAGAATTTTTTTTTTTTTTGTACCTCGGAGCGAACCCAGGGGTGCTTAACCATGAGCCACATGCCCAGTCCTTTTTTATATTTTATTTTGAGACAGGGTCTCATGAGTCTGGCTTTTAACTCATGATCTTCCTGTGTCAGCCTCACAAGTTGCTGGGATTACACATGTGTGCCACTGTACTTGGAACCCAAGGATGTATATGGGGGCAAGAACACTGCAGCAGAAGGAGGAACCAGAATAAAGTCCCTGAGGGAGCTTTGTGCCCAGTGTGTTTGAGGCATAGTGTGAGAGGAACCAATGTGTCTGGATCACAATATAGTTTTAATATACTAATTTAATATACTAATACTAGTTTTAATACTAAGTGAGGTTGACAGAGTTGTGAGCAGAGTCATGCTATGTTCTAACATTATGTATAGCAGAGCTACTGTGACTGCTGTCTTGAGAATAGTCCATGGGGAGGCAAGGGCTGAGGTGGGGAGACCAGTTAGAAGGCTGTTGCAGTATTCTAGCCCATGTGGAAGTACTCAGTGGTTGGATTCTGGTTTGACTAATGAATTGGGATATGAGAGAGAGGGGAATCACCAAGATTATTTTAAGGTTCATAGCTTCTGTGGTCTTTTAAAACTATAGAACTTTGGTTTTAATATTAGTAGTATCCAGTCTGTTAAATAAATACTTTTCTAAAGAATAACATAGAATTATTTTAAGTTATTTTGCTTTACAAACCAAAGCTCTTCTTTTTTTAAAGCTCTTCACAGAATACGGTCGTCTGGCAATGGATGAAATTTCCCAAAAACCCTTCCAGGTAAATTATTAACTATGAATGTAATATGTATCTTTGTTTTTAGTTAAAATAAATCAGCAAATGATAGCTCACAGGCTAAATGTGGCCTGTTGCCTGTTTTTATATGACCTGTGAGCCATACACACACACACACACACACACACACACACACACACACACATTTTAATTTTTTGCAGTGCTGGGGATTGAACACACAGCCTTATGCATGGTAGGCCAATGTTCTACCACAGAGCTACATCCCCAGTCCTGGTTTTATTTTTTATTTTTGGTACTAGGGATTGAACTCAGGGGTACTTGACCACTGAGCAGCATCTCCAGCCCTATTTTGTATTTTATTTATAGACAGGGTCTCACTGAGTTGCTTAGTGCTTCATTTTTGCTGAGGCTGGCTTTGAACTTGTGATCCTCCTGCCTTAGCTTTCCAAGCTGCTGAGATTACAGGCATGTGCCATTGCACCTGGCTCCCAGCCCTTGTTTTTATATATTTTAATGGTTGGGAAAAAAAATGAAAATAGGAATAATATTTAAGACATGTAAATTATCTGAAGTTCAGACATCAGCAATAGCTGAAGTGTTAGTGGGACATAGCACATGTTTATGTGTCAGCTATGGCTGCTTTCCTATTACAGTAGCAGAGTTGAGGAGCTATTTAAAATATTTACTCTCTTGCCTTTTATAGAAATCATTTGCTGACCTCTGCATTAGCTAATTGTTTCTTGAGAAAGCACAGTAACCTCAGTAAGACTAGAGGTGCCTTAATATGTGAACATTATTTCTTTTCCTTCTTTGTTTTGGTACTGGGGATAAAACTCAGGGATGCTTTACCATTGAGCCTACATTCCAAGTCCTTTTTCTTTTTTCTTTTGAGACAGGGTCTTGCTTAGTTGCTGAGGCTGGCCTCAAACTTGTGATTCTCCTGTCTCAGTTTCCTGAGTAACTGGGATTACAGACATGTGCCAGTGTACCTGGCCTTTTTTTTTTTGGTTGAGGGTTTTGCTAATGTTGCCCAGGCTGGTGATAAAACTTATGGGCTCAAGAGATCCTCCTGCCTCAGTCTCAGGAGTGCTGAGACTACAGATGTGTTCCAAGCCTGGCTGTTTCTTTTCCTTTTCTAATGTAAGTAACAGATCTGATCTTATGATTAGCTGGTGCCATGTCATTTTTTTTTTTTGTGTGTGTGTGTGTTCTTTCTTTACTACATGCCTCCTACTTGCCTTTAGGGCAAAGATTTGAATTTAATGTTTCCTTTTTTTTTTTTCTGTGCTGGGAATTAAACGCAGGTTCTCACACATGCTAGTCAAATGCTCTATCACTCAGCCCTACCTTCAGCCCAAATTTAATGTTTTCTTGGCAGTCTTTTTTATTTCTGTTAATCTGTAGGAATGAAAATAACAGATGGGATACATTGACCTCACATTTGGCTTAAACATGTCATTTGTAGAACAGAAAAATCGTTCAGTATATGTCCTTGCCTCCTTTGTAGAAGTCAGCATTAAGCAAAGAACTACTGCCATTATTATCTTGAAAATGCATTTATGCCATGTTATATGTTCTCTTTTTTCTAAATAGACACTGATGTTTTTGGTTCGAGACTGGAGTTTCCCCTATGAATACAGCTATGGACTACAAGGAGGAATGGCATTTTTGGATAAGCGTTTACAGGTAATTGGAAAGAAAATCTCCTGGGGAATTTTCTAAAAGTATTGACAGCTTTCTTATTTGCCTTTGGCTCTTTGTATTTAAAACAGATAATTGAAAATGATACTAAATGTATTAATATATGTATGAATCTCAGCACAAACTAACATAATTTATTCATGATATAAAAGAACCTGGGTTGGGGCTGGGGATATAGCTCAGTTGGTAGAGTACTTGCCGTGTATGCACAAGGCCCTGGGTTCAATCCCCAGCACCACCAAAAAAATCAAAAGAACCTGGGTATGAAATGCACAGAGATATGTAGAGAAGAACTTTGAGCAAAAACCCAGGTGTGTTTATAATCTCCATTTCACATTTTAAACCAGGTTCTATATGTGTCTTTAGAATGTTATATTCAGAATTTAAGTTCTGTTATTTTATTCAAAATTCATATTTGTTTTGACATAGATATAAACAGACCTAGCCTGTTCCCCCAAAACCAAAGCACAGGAGTCTTTAATCACTATTAACTGGTTAGATCCTCCTTCCATCCTATAGAATCTCTGTTCTTAAGCACTGCACAGTACTCTTTTTAAATTATTTATTTATTTATTTATTTAATGGGTGCTGAGGTTTGAACCCAATGCCTCACAAATGTTAGGTAAGCGCTGTTCCACTGAGCCACAACCCCAGGCCTGTGTACTCATGTTTTTCTTTAGTACCTCTTCTTAGTTAGCTATGGGAGAGTCAAGCATGGTTAATCACATTCATGCATTTACTGCTTCTTGGGGTTCTCAGGTTTTTTTTATTGGTGTATGTAATCCATCACAGCTGGGAAATCTTTCCTTTGTCTCCATTCTAATGGTTCTTAGTGAAGAAAACCAAATAGTCTTTGGTTGATAAATAGTTGTTCTTCATTGGCAGGTGAAGGAACATCAACATGAAGAAATTCAGAATGTTCGAAATCACATCCACTCATGTTTCTCCGATGTTACCTGTTTTCTCTTACCACATCCAGGACTCCAGGTGGCCACAAGTCCTGATTTTGATGGGAAATTGCAAGGTGTGTTACAGATGTTGTTACTCTAAACATGTGACTTGATCTTTGGAATTAAGTAATGACCAATAAATGTCAATTAAAAATCAAGTGAATAGTTGGCCAGGTGTGGTGGCTCAAGCCTGTAATCCCAATGGCTTGGGAGGGTGAGGCAGGAGGATTGCAAGTTTAAAGCCAGCCTCAGCAATTTAGCAAGGTCCTAAGAAATTTAGTGAGACCCTCTCTCAGAATATAAAAAGTGCTAGGGATGTGGCTCAGTGGTTAAATGCCTCCGAGTTCAATCCCTGATACCAAAAGCGATCAAGTAGTGAATTCTTAAGAGAAATAGAATAGTCTATTAGAAAAAATAGTATTTAGAGTCTAGTTCACATTTTGCTCTTGACTTAATGTGACCATCAGAATTAGTTTACCGTGGCTGGGGTTGTGGCTTAGCGGTAGAGCGCCCGCCTAGGCTCTGGGTTCAATCCTCAGCACCACATATAAATAAATAAAGGTATTATGTCCAACTACAACTAAAAAAAAAGAATTAGTTTACCCTAATTTCTTCATCTGAAATTGTGATGGTTATATCCATCAATGATCTTTCTAAGAGATGTTATAATTATTGATTTACAAGAGATGGAAGTGAGGGGCTGGGGCTATAGTTCAGTGGCAGACTGCTTGCCTAGCGTGTGTGAGGCACTGGGTTTGATCCTTAGCACCACTTAAAAATTAACAAATAAAATAAATAAATGCTCTTAATCTGCTATTACAAAAAATAATGAAAAAATAGATATGGAAGTGCTAAATAAAGGAAGGCTATTTATCAAGTGAAGTTATCTTCCCAAGTAAAGGTACCATGATGCGTGTTGTTTTCATGTTGTGATTATAACAAAACCTGCCAGGTCAAGTTTTAATATCAGGAAGTGGATGGCAGGTTAGAGGAATTAAGAATTGGGACTCTTAGGTTCCATTATCTTATTTTTGTTCCTTATTCATCAAGGCATTTTGTTCCTCATTCATTAAGTCATTTAGTGGCTGGCCCACAGTTTGCATGTGCTAAGCTGAGTAGTTTGTTTATAAGCTGCTCAGTTCCTGGTAAAGTGTTGATAATAATAGCTACTAGTTTTGGAGACCTAGCTGAGTTGCCATTGCTATGCAAGGTGCTTTCATACTGAGGCTCCCAATAATTTAATGAAGTTGATGTCATTTCCCTTAACTTACAGATGAAGAAATTGGTAAAAATTAGGCATGTTAAGTAATTCAAAGTGCTCAGTGAAAGTGTAGGGCAGATTCACATTCCAGATTCTGATGTCCCAAAGCTGTACTGTCCAGAAATACAAATTCTTTGTTGTTTATGGGAAGTTTTTCAGAGGATATGTACTATTTAGTTACCAGAGGAACTTGCCTTTCAAAGTAGAAGGTTTTCATAGCTTCATATTAAATATAAAATGCATCATTTTTCACTTTATTTGATTTAGTGGATCCAAGAAAATGAATGTACTTAACCAATTCAAGACTTACAGTCTAGCTGATCTTAGTATTGCAAAAGGAACCCACTTTTAGAGGTTAATCTTTGACCTTCTATTTGTTATTTATATGATAATTTTAAGTTGTTGGCAGCATTCTTGAAGAGGAAACTTGCAGACTGTTATATTGTGATTAAAAAATCCATGATTAAGATCTGGCTTTGGGGTTGGGATTGTGGCTCAGTGGTAGAGCTCTCGCCTCACAAGTGCGAAACCCTGGGTTAGATCCTTAGCACCACATTAAAAAAAAAAACAACAACAAAAAAAAGGTGTTGTGTCCAATTACAACTAAAAAATAAATATTAAAAAATATCTGGCTTTGGGAGAGAAATCTGCTTAGGCAAACATGAGTTAGAAATCTCTTACCTAATAAAAGCAGTTGTGAAGGAATTTTCAGAGTTAGGTAGGGAGAAAAAGTTGAGCGTGAATTTGCATGTATCTGTGTGTAGGTTATATATATGTATGTGTGTGTGTATTTTTGTTTTGGTATTGGGGGATTAAACCCAGGAGCACTTTACCACTGAGCTACATCTTAACCCTTTTTTAATTTAAAAAAAATTTTTGGGAGTACTTGGGATTGAACTCAAGGACACTCAACCACTGAGCCACATCCCCAGCTCTGTTTTATATTTTACTTAGAGACAGGGTTTCTGTTGCTTAGTTTTTTGCTGAGGCTGGCTTGGAACTCCCAATTCTTCTGCCTCAGCCTCCCGAGCTGCTGGGATTCCTGGTGTGCCCCACCGTGCCCAGCTAGGTCTTTCTTTATTACATGAGAGAGTAAGTTAAGGAATAATGTAAGTAAATAAAGGTATTGTGTCCATTTACAACTTTAAATAAATAAATGAATAAATATAGGGCTGGAGGTATAGAGCTCAGTGATAGAATGTTTGCCTAGCGTGAGGACTTGGGTTTGATCCCCAGCACTGCAAAAAGCAAAACAAAAAATGGTCAGAATATGTTAATGAAAACACGGGCAGCATCACAATAATCAAAGCACAAATGTGTTGGTATGAGCTATAAACTTTGTAGTACTGGGGCAGTATCAAAATTTAAAATGTCTGTATTCTTTGATATCCAGTATTCTCCTTTTAGGAATTTATCCAAGGAGTTTTCCAAATCAGTGGAAAAAAATGTATGTCCAAGGCTAAAACTTCACTAGTATTATAATTATGGAGAGTAGTTGGAAACAACCCAAATGTATGTTTATCAGGAATTGGTTAAATTAAAGTACCTCGGTACAGAGGAATAAAATGTGATCCTTAAAAAGGATAAGATTTTGGGCTGGGGTTGTGGCTCAGCAGTTGAGTGAGACCCTGGATTCCATCCTCAGTGCCACATAAAAATAAATAAGTGAAATAAAAGTTTTGTGTCCAACTACAACTAAAAAAAAAAAAAAAAGGATAAGGTAGATCTATATGTATTTACAAAGAAAGATTTTCATGATAAATTATTAAATGTAAAAAGATTGCTCAGTACCATATGTAGTATGATCCTGTTTGTTTTAATATACATATGTTTTTTTAAGTACTTTTTCAATAGAAAGATTTGAAAAATGATTTCCTTGTTTTGCTTCATTTAAAAAATGTCATTAGTTAAATAGTCCTCTGTGTCTATGAGGATTGCTTGTGAAGAATTCTTTTAGGGCTGGGCGTGGTGGCGCACGTCTGTAATCCGGGGCTGTGGTAGGAGGATCGAGAGTTCAAAGCCAGCCTCAGCAAAGTCCAGGCACTAAGCAACTCTGTGAGACCCTGTCTCTAAATAAAATACAAAATAGGGCTGGGAATGTGTCTCAGTGGTCAAGCCCTTGAGTTCAATCCCCAGTACCAAAAAAAAAAAAAAAAAAAAGAATTGTTTTAGTTCTGCGAAAGTTTATGTATAGTCATGTGCCACATAATGACATTTCAGTCAGTGACAGACTGTATACCCAGTGGTCCCAAAATATACATGGTTCCATATATATTTTTACATAGCCTACATATGTAGTAGGCTATCCCATGCAGACTTGTGTAAGAACGATCCATGAGCTCACAAGAGGAAATTGCTTAATGAAAAGTTCTCAGGGGCTGGGATTGTGACTCAGTGGTAGAGCACTCGCCTAGCACATGTGAAGCACTGGGTTTGATCCTCAGCACCAAGTAAAAATAAATAAATAAAATAAAGGTATTGTGTCCACCTTCAACTTAAAAAAAAAAAAAAAAGTTTTCAGATTGTCTCCCTGCTGTTAAGTGATGCATGACTGTACTTTTTAGAATTGGAGATGGATATTTTGTAATTTTAGGAAACCTTTTAACCACATTGAAGCATTTTGAGTCTAGAGTAGATGCTACATTGCAAACAACAGGTGACTTTTTTTGAGTGTTTGGCCGGTGCTGGCCTAAGACCCACAGCCTTTTTCACAAGACGCCTGTAAGTAGAGCTGATGTATTTCTCAAGAGTTAAAAAACCTGGATGTTGGGGTTGGGGATATAGCTTAGTTGGTTGGGTGCTTGCCTCTCATGCACAAGACCCTGGATTCAAATCCCCAGCACCAAAACAAAACAAAACAAAACAAAACCAAAAAAACCCTGGATGTTGTATTATCTGAAGTTTACTTGTGTAATTATTTGATTTAGTGTTCATAGTCTTATTCCATATAAGTTGGAAAAGCCAACCTTAGAATGGTTAGGGGTAATTCTTTGGAGAACCTTAATGTAGTTTCTATAGAAAATTTAAATTTCGTAAGAAGCCATTTCTACAGATGTTTCCTCAAATCTTTTAGGAATTGTTTTAGTGGTTTTATTTTACTGTACTTTTAAAGATTTGACTACTTAAACAGCTACCAAATACCATCTTCATTTGTGGTGTAATAGAAACTGAGCTGCTGCTGCCTGCTTGTATTAATTAGCTAGGAGATTTAGCTGCTTTTTAAGACCCCATTTCATCAGACCCAATTTGACTTTGTCATTAGTATAAAGAAAAATGTCTTTTCCTAACTACTGTAGTAGGGAGATGAATTTAGTTACTGTTTAGTTAGAAATTAACCAGAAAGGTTTGTAGAGCACAATCTTTGACATCATGAGAGACAGAGCTTATCTCTGTTGGTATATAGTTTTTGTCTATTCTGATTTGAAATAATGGTATAACATTCATAGAAACATGAATGGCTTAGGATCTGTAAATGTTGGTAAAATGCAATCTGTAGTACCTGTATCCTGCCAGTTCCCTGCATGAAATATTTTTTGGAACAGTCTTTCAGTATGATAAAAATTGAAACCATAAAACAATTTAAATAGATAATACATTCCTATGTTTAAAATTCCAAAAAGAGTTAAGCTTTTGGTGAAAAGTCTCCCATTTTTTATAAGCTTCCAGAGTTTCTTTAGTATATGCAAGCAAATATGAATTTACATAGGATTTATCTTTTATTTTTTGTTTTACTGGGAATTGAACCCATGGCTTTGTGCATACTAGGCAAATGCTCTGCCACTGAGCTATATCCCCAGCCTTTTTAAAAATTTTACTTTGAGACACGGTCTCACTAATTTGCCCAGGTTGACCTTGAACTTGGGATCCTCCTGCCTCAACCTCCCTAGTTGCTGGAATTACAGGTGTGTACCATTATTATGAATGGCAGATACTTTTTTATTGCAAGTTTATAAGAAATTTGTCTCATTTCTTTTCTTGAAATTTTGTGCTTTAAATTTTAATATTATAGTTAGGTTTGTGGGGTGTTAAAGAATTCTTACCTTGTTATGAATTCCAGCCTACTTTATTTTCAGCTGGAAGTTGGGAACTCAGGAAGATGTTAGAAGATTATACAAATAAGATTTGTCTTTTAATTTTGCTTCTTTACTGTTGGAGAGGCTAATTTTCACTTTAAGGAACTAGCTCTTGTTTGATCACCTTCCTGAATCCTCTGTGGGAACTTTGTAGAACCTGTAAAGCGTCTGTCACCTTTCCTGACACAATGGTTTTTTTCATCTTGAGGTAGCCCAGAGAGTTATCTGAGGAGATAATAGGAAATAACAGCATGAGGCATAGGGGCTTCTACCTCTTCTATCTCTTAAATGTTAACAAAAATAAAGCATATTAATGAACAGTGATTTCCGGTTGATATCAAGGGCTAGTGAGAGGGTGCAGCAAAAGCCTGAGACAACTTGAAAGGTTGTTTATGTGGGTTAGTTTTTTTTTTGGGGGGGTGGGGTGCTGGTGATTGAACCCAGGGCACTTTACCACTGAACCACATCCACAGCCCCCCCCCCTTTTTTTTTAATTTTGAGACTGGGTCTCACCAAGAAATTGAGCCTGACCTTGAACTTGCTATCCTCCTATCTCAACCTCCTGAGTCACTGAGGTTACAGGTGTGCGCCACTTTGCCTGGCTGTTTATTAGTTTCTGAGATCTTATTAGTAACATTGTTTTAAAAATTGAAATTTCTTGAACAGTTAGGGAATAGACTGAATATCCCAGAATGGAAACCAGGATAAGAATATTTTATATATTCTTTTCTGAACTAGAGAGGACTTCACATGCCAGAAGGGAAGGAGACAAATAGAGGTGCATTTGAACAGAGATCTGTCAGCATCCTGGTACTATCCAGGAAGTATCAAACATGCATATAATCTGGGATTCCTCTCACTACTTTTCAGCAAGCAAATGTTAAAATAATTGGATACACTATGAAGTTTGTGTTTATGCTCACTTTGGTTGAATAAGGCTGTTTGGATTCTTGTTTCCTTCTTCATGGTTCTGTGAACAGATATTGCTGGTGAATTCAAAGAGCAGTTGCAGGCGCTGATACCATATGTATTAAATCCATCTAAGTTAATGGAAAAGGAGATCAATGGCTCAAAAGTTACCTGCCGTGGACTGTTGGAATATTTTAAGGTAAACATGGGTTTTATATTTAAACTGTTTGATTTTTGATAAAACGAATCTAGGTTGTAAACCATCCTGAATTTTAATATTCTGAAACTTCAAAATTTCCTGGAGGAGATGGTGAAATGCATTTTGAGACCTCAGTGCCCTTCCCAGAATGGGCCGCTGGGTGGCAGTCTGGGTCTAGGAACCAAATGGATGTTCTTTGCACTCTCTTTGAGGAGTGTTTACAGTTGCATAAGGAAGATGGTTCTTCAAGGAAGATGGTGTGGACAGGAGATGGGTAGGAAGTTGTGACCCGACTACCTCCAGGCGGATGGTCTCTCTGCCCAGGTTGTGGTGAGACCAGTGTGCATTGGGAGTCTGGGAAAGGATTGCTAGGCTTTTGCTGCTTGAGAACATTTTTAGATAAAAATGCTAACATGCGCTCAAAGGTGTGTTGTGTTTTTGCTAATTCCTGGTTGTTGATGTAGGTCTTTAGGAAATTGCAGTTGTACGGTCCCCATTTCAAAAAATTAGAGCATGATTAAACTATGACAGAATGACTTTTCTCATAATAATTCTTATGTTTGTATTCTAAGGCATATATTAAAATTTATCAAGGAGAAGATCTGCCTCACCCCAAATCCATGCTTCAGGTAATCATTCCTTTGATATCTTAAATGGTATCCTTTAATTGCTCAAGTTGTTGCAGTTACAGTAAAACAGAATCCTGTAAGAAGAGAATGAAACAACTCGCCTTTCCCATAATGCTAGATATGTTGATGTTTAGCACACCTTGCTGCATTGTGGGTGCCTTTTGGTTTTCTTGTCTTCATTCACAGTGGTACAGTTAAAACAGGTTGACCTCTCCTTCCTGTTCTTCCTCCCACATAAACTTTGGGAAACATTGCTTCATTATCCCCAGGCGAAGCATACCCACTGTACTAGACAAGTGACTTCTAGTCATCTGGGGTTTACTTCAGTAGGACATGTCTTGACTTGTCTACTTACGATGCACACTGTTCAGGTTTTTTATTTTCAAGTAGAAAAAAATCATTTGTTTGAAACACTTTCTGACTTCATTTGCTGAACATAAGGGCATTTATTGCCAAATACTGATTTCTTTAGTAGCAAAACATTTTCACAAAAGTAGGTAGAGCCTGTGATTGACATCATAAAGATATGTGTGTGTGTGTGTGTGTGTGTGTTTATTTGCATCTATTTCTTTTCTTTCTTTCTTTTTTGTGGTGCTGGGGATTGAACCTAGGGCATTATCCAAGCTAGACAAATTCTGTACCACCAAGCTATATTCATAGCTCAAGCCTTTCTTTTTTTGGTACCAGGGGTACTTAACCACTAAGCCACATCTTCAGCTGTTTTTTTACATTTTATTTAGAGACAGGTTCTCACTGAGTTGCTTAGAGCCTTGCTAAGTTGCTGAGGCTGGCTTTGAACTTGCAGTCCTGCCTCAGCCTCCTGAGCTGCTAGGATTACAGCTTTCATCTATTTTTTTACATTTAAAGTTGAAGCAAAGGAAATGATGTTTTCCTTGACTTTAATTCATGCTAAAGATTTTAGATCAAAGAAACATGTTTTGGTAGAAAGTTTGGTAGAAAAGGTGTAATTTATTCATTAATTGATGATATATGAAGACCTGAAAAATAGCAGAAGGTCAATTAAAAAACAGCAAAAGGTCAGTAAAAAAAACGAATGGGGAAGAAGGTAAGGGATGGTTTTTACTTGGTAAAAAGAAGGTAAGGGATGGTTTTTACTTGGTAAAATGGAAGGATTTGTAATTTATGCTTTCATTTCTTAAAAGGCCACTGCTGAAGCCAACAATTTAGCAGCTGCAGCCTCTGCCAAGGACATTTATTATAATAGCATGGAGAAGGTATGTGCTGCATATTCCTTTTTCTGAAATATGTGTACCCTGTGCATTGTTGCTTAATTGAAAAGTCCAAACTCGATCCTGCTTAGTGCATCTTCTGATGAGGCAGCAGAGCTGTTTTCAGGTCCACCTGGTGATCGGGGCCTTCTGATTATTAACATTTCTAACCAAGGTTTTATTACAGTGCAGCTGCTCTTTCCGATTACTAGTACTCTGGTGGTTTAAGTGACTTTATTAGCCTTGGTCATCGTCTCTCTAACATTAAGTTCTAATATTTTAAAACATCTTCTATGTCTTTTCACTTGTTTTATTCAGCACTTGTTTTTGAAGGGATTTTCAGTATGCCATTTTTATTCTTTTTAGGTTTGTGGGGGAGAGAAACCTTATATGTCTCCTGACATTTTAGAGGAGAAGCACTGTGAATTCAGACAACTGGCTCTGGACCAATTTAAGAAGACCAAGAAGATGGGTGGGAAGGATTTTAGCTTTCGCTACCAGCAGGAGCTGGAGGCAGAAATCAAGGAACTCTATGAAAACTTCTGCAGGCACAATGGTAGCAAGAATGTCTTTAGTACTCTCCGAACCCCTGCAGTGCTGTTCACAGTCATTGTGATTTTGTACATAGCCTCAGGCCTCACCGGCTTCATTGGTCTTGAGATTGTGGCCCAACTGTTCAACTGTATGGTTGGACTGCTGTTAATAGCGCTCCTTACTTGGGGGTACATCAGGTATTCCGGTCAATATCGAGAGCTGGGCGGAGCTATTGACTTTTGTGCTGCATATGTGTTAGAGCAGGTAAGTGTTTTTGCTGGCTGAGAGTTGATAATGGACAGATATTTGTGTTTCTGTTATATCTCAGTTTGGGAGAATTTCATAGTGAAACGAAGCATGAGAAACTTACCTTGTTCATTTTTTTATGATGGATTTTATATATTATTTTTCTTTAGAATATTAATGTTCCTAATATTTTGTTTCCTTGCCTAAAATTAGTCTTTAATGCAAAAAGTTTTGAACTTGGATGTATTTGTTCCTCGTGGGACACTTTTAAAATTACATGCTCTTTAAGCACAATTCCAGTGTAATTCTCTTCTATGCCCACTCCCCTGATTAATTTGTTTCATGAAAAATCAAGAGCTTTGAAAAAAATAAGAACTCAACAAAATGTTCTGTTTTGAATCCTGTTGGGTTAGAAAATGGCCTCTCCTTCATTTAAAAAGTCTTGCAAAAAGCCAGTGGCTTGGGCTGGGGCTGAACCTCATTGGTAGAGCGCCCACCTCGCATGTGTGAGGCACTGGGTTCGATCCTCAGCACCACATAAAGATATTGGGTCCAACTACAACCAAAAAAAAAAAAAAAGAGCCAGTGGCTTTTGGCATTGGCATGTTCTCCAATTTTATAGATCTTTTTTATTATAGATGGATACAGTATCTTTATTTATTTTTACTTTTACTTGGTGCTGAGGATCAAACCCAGTGCCTCACACGTGTGAGGCAAGTGCTCTACCACGGAGCCACAATCCTAGCCCCAAATCTTATAGATCTTTGAGCCTGGCTTGTTTCTTTTCCTGAGTAACATGAACAGATCAGTTAGGTCAAGTAGCATATGAAGCCAGGCAAGCCACCCACACTTCCCCAGCTATGGAGGCAGATGCTCCACTGACTCTTGGGAGTTAGCTGCTGCCATAGCCTCCCCTCACCCTGCATTCTCATTTTCCTTCTTTTGGCAGCATACTGATGAGGAAAGTTTATTTCTAAGGACTGTCTTGGGTTCTGTGTTGTATTTCATTAACTTACATATTGAATAAATGGACTTTTGCAGGTTTCTTCTCATATTGGTAATTCTACTCAAGCTGCTGTGAGGGATGCAGTTGTTGGGAGACCACCTATGGATAAAAAAACTCAATAGCATCTTAACAGATCCAGCAGGAGCCCAACCAGTTCCTGGATTCTTGGATCTCTTCATGGCCCTGGATCCAGGTCCAGAGGAAGGGCAGATCGGAAACCATCTGACAAGAGCTGCAACAGGGAACTGCAATAAATGAACTGACCTCTTCTGTGGTTTCAAATTCTTAAACACATTTCCATTTCTGTTGGAAGCATTCCTTTTCTTGCTCTTAGATCCAAGTCCATATCTCTCTTGTTATTCTCTGCTTTGTGCACTTTATAGGCAGTGGGGGAAGCTAAAGAAAAATGTGGAAATGCAGCTTTTAAGTCTTTTATGTGCCACTCTAGTGCCTTTTAAGATTGAATCCATGCTTTTGTGGACACAAAGGGGAAGAGATGGAGGATAACCTCATGAAAATGTGCTATTGTGGGTGAAACTTGTTAATTCTTGCATACCTTACTCATTTGAGACAGTTTCCTTTTTTAAAAAGTTTACAAAACTTGGAGAAGCTTCAGAACTAAAGACTAACTGAAAATGATGCCACTACACTTTTAAAATCTTATTTATAATTTTAAGATTCTGTTTGCCATATGCCACGGGAAAACCATATCATATTTAAATATACATACTTTAGAATGTAAGGTCTTTTACTTGATAGCTTGGTAGTTTTGTTGAATCTGCTTTATTTTTTGTTCCTATGGCTTTTAGTACAGAGGTAAACATGCCTGAAAAGCCGGAGTAGCCCATAATAAGAGGAATGAGAATGGATACTTTAATGAAAAAGCTGAGTTTGAATGAACCTGTGAACGTTTGTCAGTCACTTGAACTTGTGCCTTCGTTTTTTTTATAACATATATATGTTATACGTAGCTCTCAAACAAAATTGTCATTTGAGATATTTTGTTTTTGAGTATTGCATGAGTATAGAACTTTATATTAAGGATTAGAGGAAAGACTACCAAATATTAATGCCTTTAATGTCCTTTTTCAAGTGACTTAACAGTAATTAATAATTGAATTACCTGACTTAAAGTCTTTGCCCAAACTGTTTATTTATATTCTTCTATGCACTAATGTTCTTAATAACGAAGCTAAAATTGTTAATTTCACTTCATGAGTCTTCCTGTATTTACTTTTAGTGTTCATTAGTCTGGTAGCTTTAGAATAACTTTGGCTTAGGAAGGACCAAAGTCCTACCCAAATATAGATAATATCTAGAATTATCTATGAATTTTTTAAAAAAAATTACTTTATGAGATGAAAAAGTTTTATCTGTTGGTTGCTTTGTTTTCTTTGATTTATAATGGTGAATTGCAGATTTTAAAACTTGCCTACAAGTATTTATATAAACATTCAGGTATATGAACCTTAATTTTTAAGATAATTTGATTTTTGTTGTGGGAGGGAGGTTGGAGGGCTTAGGCAACATCTGACTGAAAATTTTATATACATGAAGTATGAATGGAAAGGAGAAAAAAGAAAGTATAGCATTCAGTTGCTGTCAGGGAATTTTCTTTTGACAAAACACTTTACCTCTCAAGTATTTTTATAAATCCTGAATTAATTCCAAGTCTTTTACATATTTTCATATTTACATACCATCTTGTCTTGAAGTTCTTGCTATTTTATTCACTTTCTGTTAACATTTTAGAAAAATTTCAGCTTGTTCTAAAAGCTGTTCACTTGCATCTGAGTGATAACCAAGCTTTGACTAATAAATTGAAAGCTCACTTTAGAAATTTTGGTGCATTTTGAGGTGACTTCTCATTTCTCTGAAGGTTCATACTTATAGGCCTTGCTGATAACTAAAATTTTAATAAATTCTATAAGTAAATTTACATCTAAGTAAATTTACAGATTTCAGAATAATTGTCCAAAGTGGTTCTACATTTAAAAGTGACAAAGGATGATGATGCATCTCTTTATTCTAATACAGAAGTATTTTGTTTCTTTTTTAAAAAGTATATGATTTAATAATGTCTTAGGATTTTGTTCCTGTTTAATTCACCATTTCTGTTTTGGTCTTCTACAGGAACAACCTTTACAAGAATTACTCTGAGTTTTTTTCATTGTTTTTAGTTACCTTACTCTGCCTCTGGAAAGTGTTTATGTAAAGTTTTGTGTGACAGTTCTTTGGCCTCTTTTCTCTTTTAACAGTAAATTGATGATTTTATATCAACCTTTTCATGAATGATGTCTTCTCATTGCTTATAACCAGGTTGAAAATGTCTTTTCCATTTTTTTCCCCCTCCAGTCTTTGCTTTGCTTTGGGCTATTGTGTAAGAGTCAGTGTTCACTGCTCTGTCACTGCTGGTGGACATTCATGCACACATCGTTAATTTGCACTTTCTTAACAATATATGGAGCACATTTTTATTAAACTGTACGTGGAAATTTTTTTTAAAATTCCATTAAAATAACTCATTTCAGGAGAAATTGCCAATTTTTTTTTGTGGGGGGGTGCTAGGGATTGAACTCAAGGGCACTCAACCACTGAGTCCCATCCCCAGCTCTATTTTGTATTTTATTTAGAGACAGAGTCTCACTGAGTTGCTTAGCACCTTGCTATTGCTGAGGCTGGTTTTGAACTTGCAGTCCTCCTGCCTCAGCCTCCCGAGCCGCTGGGATTATAGGCTTGAGCCACCGCACCCGGCATGCCAGTTTTAATACTTCCAATTTGCTTATAGTTAAAATAGTAGAATCGAAGTTTTGAGTCTTTCACTGAGAAATATTTCTAGATAAGTTTATAGACAGGGCAAACTGTTATACTGTATGGTGATAAAAATCTTCACAGTTGTCACTTTTTTTTTTTTTTTTTTTAAAGCAGTATACCAAAAAAATCTGCTTATTCCATGGTGGTTTATGTTTTAACAAAATTGCTTATTGTTTGTTTTATTTATTCTATTTTTTTCCTCTTACTTTGGGCAAAAAAACAAAAACACTGCCTTGTACTTGGAGTACTTTCTCTAGCAAGTCAACACAATGTTTCTAACCTGGCTTATGAAAATGGTGCCTTGGATAGGGTATGTTTGGTTGAGCACAGATATGTATGAGAGTTCTAGAGAAATTAGGTAGGTTGATTTCACCCAGACAAAAACAATAAAATAGCCCTCCCCCAGGATTAAAAAAAAAAAAAAAAAGATGAAACATATGTAAGTCTTCTTCATAGAACTGATCTTTTTTTTTTTTTTTTCCTTTGTAGAACTATTGGAATGTAGCTCAGGATGATTTGATGTTTCCACTGAAGGTAGCCAACATGGGCTGTGTCATTTCAGTTTACATTTGGATCCAACAAAATTTTAATCAAGGCATAAGGGCATAATGAAGATAAGCTTCAGTTATTAAAAGTACAAACTATCTGTAATTTTTTTAAATGACATTTAGAAGCCCATTGTAAAAGATTGCACTTGAGCAATTTTCCTCCTGTTATGAAAAGTCTCATTGTAGCTGTATTTTGGGTAGTGGTTCTCATCTACCTTGGAGTGCATTTAAGACTTAACTTTGTGATCCTCAGCTTTATACCCAGGGATTGCCTCTGTTGGTCTGGGCTATGTCCATGGAATCTTCACTTTTATAAACATTGTGATTCAGAGACCACAAGGAGACTAACCCAGAGGGTGGAAAGTACCAATAAAGGAAAATTTGGTGTTGTCTGGAGGCAGGTGGACAGCTCTTAACTTGAGGTTCAGGATCAGCGGTCTGCTGTCAGCTACAATCACCAAGGGTTTACTGTGTTCAGAATAATAAGGGTGCCTTAATCCAGAGGATTGTTCTTCAAAATCGTCATAGTGCCTTCTAAGAGAAACGAATGTAACAAGTATCCTATATACTAACAGTATAATTAGGATTTTTTTAAAATGTAATTTTGATAACCGTTTTTCTTTTAAAAAGCCAAATTCAGCACTGTGACTCAAATTCCTAAATCACACAGAAAACAAACTACAAATAAAAATAATGAACAAAAAAAGGAGGATGGGATTAAAACAGATAATTAGCAGCTGAAGTACCCCATATCAGGAACTTTCTAAGATCAAGAGGCAGAAGGGTTTTGAAAAAACAAAAAATGTTTCTTTGTGAAGGAATTTCATGTGACAAATAAAATTTAAATGTAATGTTTTTAAGATGAAAGGAAGGTTGTAGTGATTCCCAAAGCTTTCTAATTCAGATGGACAAAAGCTATCATGGATGTAAACCTTAAAGGGGTTAAATCTTGAACATATACAAATGTTCCTCAGTTTTGTTTTTCTTTTCTTTAAAAAATGACTTGTTAAAATTACGTTCTGCTAGATCCTTGCCTTTGGATGGCTTCAAATTTTAATATAGTTTTTAAAAAGTGCAATGGAATGAGATTATGCTATTAGTATATTAAAAGCATGTTTCTGTTTTACTCCCAGTCATTTAATGGAATAAAGATCACAGTACCTTGTTGCTTGTTTTTCTTGTTCTGTAGCATGTAAGGACCTGTGAGTGTGAGATTGGCAAAGGGAGTAGAATCTCGGTGGGAGAGATCTGTCGAGGGGTTGTGTGTGGTTCTTGTCAGCCAGCTTTCTCAGTCCCACAGTCATCATGATCTGGTGTTTATTATCATAGTACTGTTGGCACAGCAGCTTAAAAGTGAAGGGAAACTTTATGTACAGTAACGTGGACTTGTGAGAACCTTTGGATATGTAGCACTTTGATTTGGTTGCCCTGTTTGGAGGCAACAGCTTAAATGGTTCCTTTTTGGATATGGGGAGGGTGGGAGGCAAAGCTTTGCTGAAAGGTTTCCCTTCTGCAGGTGACCCTGGAGGTGGCACCGAACTCCACTCCTAATAGCTGGCCATCCCCTATATTGCCCTATGGTAAAAGAGTTTGAAGCACACTGGGTGGAGTAGGCAGCTTTCATCTGCCTAGTTCTCCATTCCTGATGTGGTGATCTTGTGTAAGATGCTATCCTGGGTGCCCAGCAGGGTTCTTCAGTTTGGCAAGGGAGGGGGCGAGTACTTGGGTGCTTCCATTGGTGGTGTTGCCCCCACCAGCATAAGGTTGGGAGGAGGAGTGAGCAGGGTGAGGTGTGTGGTCCTGCATGGATGAGTCCAGTAAATTTATGGCTTGCTTTTGACTCCTGTTCCAGGTTGCAAAAAACAAGTCCAAATAATCCAAAAACAGGATTGTAGCTGGGAAAAAGTTTTTGTAACTGGATTTCTAGGGCCAAAACTGACAACAGGCACTTAAGGGACTCAAGAGACCAACAGGACCAACAGTGGCCAAATTATCTGTTGCAGATGGGTTTCTCGAATGCCCTAGGGGAGGGCAGATAGATGGTTCTAGGCTTATGTCATTACACTTAAATATCCCCAGAGGAAAGAGGCTTTTAATTAAGTTGTCTATTTAAGAATGTATTTCCATTCCCAGAGAAGACACCTGAGTGGTGTGATTTGAGTCATGCTTCTTGCAATCAGTACTGTAGCCTGGGGACTCGGGCCACCTTTACCAGTCACAGCCAGGTCACAGGCACTGTGATTGGCAACTCCACTAGGACCACACAGAGATACCCAGTGAAGACTGCTGGCCAGGCCAAAACAAATACCCACTTAAGTTACTAGTTACTCAAACTGGCCTATTTCGCAAACATGGGAGTGAGAGAACCTGGCATGTTTCCCAGGTTAAAGGTTTTGAAATGTACTTTTAAAGAGGGGGTAGATATTGGTTATGCTGCACAGCTCGTTAGAGCATTTTCACTAGGGTTTTTTTTTTTTTTTTTTCTTTTTTTAGCAGGACTTGAGTGTATTTGAGAGATAGGAAAGAAGTTACCAGTTATCCTTCATCATCTTTCATAAAAGCCTGACGTTTTTGGTCAGAGCAAACTGTCAAAATTGATACATTCACCAAGCCTTACAACAGCCTGGACACTTGTAAACCCTGTATTCATTTGGCTGATGAATGCTTTTTCCCTAAGGAGTATTTCCGTTTTGAGTTGTTAATCAATAGAGTCCCTCATGTCACCACAGAATCTGTTCCTAGTGTGTAAAGAAGCATCTGGAACATTCAAGCCTCCCCTTAAATGCATCTTACCTGCTTTTGCTCTCTCCTCACCCTCTCCCTTTTCCCTCCTTTGCCTTGGCCTTCCTCTCTACCCTGCCCCAAGGAATGTTTCTTGCCTGCACATCAATTTAGCCTGGAGCCGTTTTCCCCTTGCTCAGTTACTCATTCAGACTAAGAACAGTGGATTCTTGAATCCATCCTCTTTAGGACATAAGCGTGGAGAAGACAGCAAATACTTAAAAACTAGTATTTCCCTTTTCAGAAGAATGGGGCTCCATAGCTGAGCTATGTAGAAGCTTTAGGGTCAGATATTGGTTCTATTCTGTTCACTTCCCTTGGTGTAGGGGTATTAAGGTTTAAAAATGTTCCCCAAATTTCATATTTTGGAAACTGAATCCCCGAAGTCAGATGTTAATGGTATTTGAAATGTGGAAGCTTTGGGAGGTGACTGGGCAGAACCTCCATGAATGGATCAGCCCCGTCATGGATTAATGGGTTCTTTAGATTCTTGCTGTCTCTTGCCATGTAATGTCCTTACCATGTTATGATGCAGTATAAGTCCATTGCCAGATGCCAAGCAGAAGCTGGTATTATGGTCTTGGACTTATGAGTCTCCAGAACTGTAGGCCAAATAAACTTTTCCTGCATAAATTATCCATTCTCAGGTATCTATTATAAGCAATAGAAAACAGATTAAAGTGGATAGTCTTGCTAGTGATGGTGGTAGCATCAAGTAGCAGTTTCTCACTAAGATCTGGGGCCTTCTTACAGAGCTCCTTTTTTTTTTTTTTTAATATTTAGTTGTAGATGGATACAATACCTTTATTTTTATGTGGTGTTGAGGATTGAACCCAGTGCCTCACACGTGCCAGGCAAGCGCTCTACCAATGAGCCACAACCCCGGCCCAAGATTTCCTCTTTTAAGCTGTAAAAAAAGTAAAAATTTATAGCCCCAGGCTGCACTCCCAGCCTTTTGTCTTTATTTGCTTTTGTCTGGCACAGCAATAGGACAAAGGGTAAGGGAGGTAACATTTAGACCCTTCTGGAAGCAGAGGATGAGGAGAGGCAGAAGTCTGTTTGGTTTCCTTAAGACAGAACTTCTCGGGCTGGGGATGTAGCTTGGAGGTACAGCACTTGCCTTGCATGCATGAGGCCCTGGGGCCCATCCCCAGCACTTGCAAAAGCAACAACAAAAGGGCACTGTTAGGTCGGTAGTGGCGACTTAAGAGGCGAATTAGAACGAAGCAGCTGCGGGAAAGGAACATCAATCAGGCGCCCTCGGAAACGCCTGTCAATCAGCAGGACCCCCTGGCCAATCCTGGAGTTCAGCCAACTCCCCTGACCAACTCCAAAGGGACAAGGGACCCTAAAAACACCTTTTCCTGTCCCAAGCCCTTCCCTTCCTGCTGTAAGCCCCATAAAAGTCCAGTCCTGTCAAGCTTCTACCCGGTTTCTCCTCAGACCCTTCTCCTGTCCACTCTGTGGGTCTGATAGAGTTCCGCCCTGGAGTGATATCTCAATAAAGCCTCATTCGGCGGCCCCTTTAAATCTGCCTCCTTTAGTCACTGCCCGCCTGGGCTGATCTGACAGTCACTAGCTCAATGTGCTCAGCAATGGGTTGGTTGAGTAATAATATACATAAAACTAACATTTATTTATATTACCTCTGACTCTTCTTCCCAGGAAGCTGGTGAATATCATGTGATGATGAGCATGTGACTCTTCTCATGTTAATAATAGCCTGTGTGTCCCGATCAAGGATTTTCCAAGAATTTTCCACATGCCAGACATCAGGCTCAGCACTTTATAAGCATCATTTCACGTGTGGCTCTCCCTTTGGGGAATGTATTCTTATGTGTTATCTAATATCACCCCATTTTACAGATTAGCAAACAGACTAAGAGGGAACTCTGCCTTGGGCCCTACAATCACCGAGGGTCAGGGGCAGGATTTGTCCCAAGCATCCTGACTCCAAGGCTCAGTGCTGGCATGCAATGGCAGGAGTAGAGAGACAAAAGAAGCTGGCTCTACTTTTAGGGAGTCAGAATTCAGTGCAGAGGAAAGGCCTGTGTGTGGCTGTTCATCTTTTCGATCACTCGTTTACCTGCTGTTGTGTCAGGTTCTGTGGAGGGTAATGGTATCCTATGGCTTAAGACCCAGTGAGTGGGGGTATTGCTATGTTGCTCAGGGTGGCCCCAGACTCCCGGGATTAAGTGGTCTTCCTGCCTCAGCCTCCTAGCAGCAGGGACTACAGGTGTGTGCCACATCTGATTCCTTTCTTGTCTTTCAGTAGCTTTACATTTAATACAGTTTTATAGGAAGGAGCAAAACTCCACCTCCACCCTCAGGGTCCTGGCTGGACTTGAGAATAAAACTGACACAAGATAGGATAGCGGGGGGAAAAGCATACAAAATGTCTTTAATACAGTTTTCTGTGGCACAGGAGATTTCATAAAGAAATGAAGACCCCAAAAGCAGAGTCAGTTCCTTACACACTGACTCAGACAAAGAAGCACCTAAATTATGTGGGGAGACTTAAAATATAAAAGCGTTATTATCATCATCATTAGTTGCTTTTTTTTTTTTTTTTTTCAGTGCTGGGGATCAAATCCAGGGTATTGCTCTATGGCTGAGCCCATCCTCAGCCCTGAAGTCTTATTTAACAAGGTCTATACAGAATTCTTTTCCATTTGAATTCTCTTTCTTTCTTGAGGAAAGGTGTTGCTCTTCATTCTAGTACAGGGAGAATGCTTTGACGTAGGAATTTCATCTCCTTGCTCCCTCCCTTTCTCCCTTCCTCTCTTCCTTTCTTCCTTCCTGTGCTGGCAATTGAACCCACAGGCTCTCTACTGCTGAGCTACTACACCAGCCCTTTCTATTTTGAGATGTGGTCTCACTAAGTTGCTGAAGCTGGCTTCCAACCTGATCCTCCTGCCTGAGCCTCCCGGGTCTCTGGAGGTATGTGCCACTGTGCCCTGCTCATCTGCTTCTAAGAAACTTAAAAGACCTTGGAGTTGGGTCTCTTCCTCCCCAACTGTAGCTCCCTAGCCAATGCTTATGCAGAGAAGTGGGCTCTGAGATTGTCCAAAGCCCCAGGAAAAATGGTGGAAAATTCACTGTTGCCATGCAATTTATGGCTTTGTTCTTTTCTTAAGCTCCCAGTTTGGCCTCGTGCTTTATCTTATGTGGGCTCCTATTCCTGAATCTTGGCTAAACTCTTTAGGCTCAATCTAGTTGCCTCAAAAATAGCGAGCAGTCGAATTATCTCTCTATCTTCTTATTACTATAGTAACTAATTATGTACTCTTATTTGGAATTAACAGGATAAGTACTTCTCCACTCAACTCCATTCATACAATCACAGATTACTATGCTAAAAAATCAACAGCTGAAGAAGTACCAAGAAGGGGCCATCCTAGCATTAAGAGATATTCCTAAGAGAGAAGTAAATCAAATGTACTTTCTTGCAGGCAAGGAACATTATACAAAAACTGAATTGTGTCAAGCATGATGTTTTTGACAATGATTCTGACCATAGTTATATTGATATCTTATTATTAATATTGAAATGTTAAAAAAGGAAGTTTTCCTTCTCTTAGGCAAATTTTATATATATATTTTTTAGTTGTAGATGGACAACTTTATTTCATTAATTTATTTATATGTGGTGCTGAGGATCAAACCCAGCGCCTCACCTGTGCTAGACAAGCGCTCTACCACTGAGCCACAACCCCCAGCCCAGGTAAATTTTAATTAATATTGTAAATGTTTTCAAATATTCATTAATAATAGATTAAATAAAATACTGTATTATTCCCCCCCCCCAAAAAAAGAGGTTAGAATGATCTTCTTGCACCTGTTGTTTTAAGTGCCTTTAAGTTAAAATAGAGAAGAACAGGATCTATACACACACACACACATACATATATATTTATTTTATTTACACTGTCACTTTTTAAACTATACTTCTCTAGAGGAGATAAGTAAATCGATCCCAACACTTCAGTGTGCTGTGTATACAAAGATCAAATGCAACACAACCTGTGGTTAAATACTTGCAGCCTCCGGTCAGAGGAGGGCGTGGAGAGAGACCGCCCTGCCGGCCGCCGGAGCGGGAGGCTTCCAGCTGTCTGTAGGGGTTGGGTCAGGAGCTCGGTCAGGCTGTCATTAGCCAGTCACAGGGGGAGGGGCGGGGTGACCTCGCGCTGGCCAGGGCTCTGCGGCCATTAAGCTGGTTCCTTTGCTGCGGCCGCTGGCCTGCCTCCCAAGTCCGCCAGGTGGGTGGAGCGATTGTTTCTGGGACGTCAGGAAAGGTGAGAAGCTTGGGTGCCTCTCGCGGTCCCCGAGGGCTGCCTGGGAGACAGCAGTTGAGTGGAGCGGGAGTAAACAAGTTAGGTGAGCAGCAGAGCAGCTGCGGCCGCCGGGGACGCGGGCGGGGACCGCGAGCGCGGAGGAGGGGGAGCACTGAGGGCGGGTGCAGTGGCCCCGTTGGCGTGACAGTCGCCGCTGACTTTCCAACCCCGAGCTGACCATTCAGGTGAACCATCCAGACCCCTGCAAGGGACAAGTCCAGTGCAGGGCTTGGGGGGGGGGGCGACCGCAGTCTCGGGCGAGTCAGGTGGTTATTCCGAGGGGTCAGCGACGAACCTCGCAAGGGCTCCAGGCTAGAAGCCGCTGGCTTCTGGGGTCTTGAGGACGCTGTTTCTTGTTGGTGACCTAATGCATTCCTGCTCCCCTTTCCTCAGGCATTACGGCCACTGATAAAGTGAAATCGAGCCTGACATCGAGGGTCCACGTCGCGAAAGAAGATGCGCGCGCCCATTGTAAGTGTGGGGGCCCGGGAGCATGGGGGCCGGGTCGTGTCTTAATGGTAATTTGTTGAGTCCTCTTGCCTGGAGGGAGGATCCTCGTGCCTGGGGACTGTTGGAATTTTCTCAGGACTTCTCGTGCAACGCGTGGTCAGGTTGGGGGCTGCCCTGCCTGAGTCAGCCCTAGTGGAAGGCAGGACCCTCGGGAACAGGGAGGCAGTAAAGGGAGAGGTCTCTCCATTAAAGACAAGGGCTGCCTTTCTGGTCGACAGGCTCCTGGGCCTCAGTGTCTGAGGCTGGACCTGCTGCGCAGGGGCCTCCCCCAGTCAGCTGACTGCGCGGTGACCAGCTCTGCTAGCACATTCCCAGTCCCGCTGTTGGTCTTTCTAACCTGTGATGTGGGATAGGGGGCTTTGCAGAGGCTTCCCGTCATCTAGGCAAACCAGCAGAGTGGTTAGAGAACAGATTTTTGTGATAGGTCATCAAGTACCTCACTGGGATTTCGATCCAGTTCAAATTCACTCTGTACCCCAGAATGAATATCACTTAAAATTTAGGAAGTGCTCTGAACAATACTTGGCACACATATTGAATGCCCGAGTCATCATCATTATTATTTCAATCCAAGTAAAGAGCTGGGCATACCTGGCATGTGTGACACTTTTTAATATCCCTCTCCTCTGACAACATTACTTTCAGCAATAGTCATAAAATGAATGATAATAGCAGCCAGAAAAGAAATGTGGACAGTGAACATTTTCTTTTATCGGACTTTGTGTATGGAAGCATGAGGTTAAAAAATGAAAAATAAAGGTAATAGCAAAAAAAAAAAACCCAGAAAAAAGTAATGGATTAGTAGTTTTTAGTTACTAAAAACTGAAAAAAGGGAAAATTTATTCTTATATGAAGGTTGATCACAGTAATGAAAAATTATAATGCTATAATTTAATATCCCCACATTCAAAACATATTCACTAAAACGTCTAAACCAGAAAATTCACCATACGTTTTTCTTTTATGTGGCAAAATTCCCCCAATTTTTCTTCTTGTGCAAAAATCAGGGAAAAATGACTAAATGCTCAGGAACCTCGACATTTCTTTCATCTCGAACTCTAGAATGAGAGTCTAGTTCTTGGTCACTCTTAGTTTCTTCTGGAGACCAGAGTGTTTTGTTTTCTGTTTGAACATAGGGAGATTTAAACAACTGTAGGGGTTGGTGACATAATCTGTGTATGAAGTGAACTTGAACTCTGCTGAGCTGTTAGGAAACCATCGAAACAGACATGTGTGCCGAGTCTGTGTGTGTTGGGGGCTGACGACATAACTGTGTGTTCTCTGATTTAACTTCCATGTTGGTGGCACAATTTTTAAAGATTAAGAAATTAAAATGTGCCAACTGGAGGTGATGATGATGATGATGATGATTAAATCTCAACAGTAACTCAACTCTCCTCTCGAGTGGAGAATGGAAACTGATCACCCCTTCCCTTAGGCCCAGCCCAAGGATTCTAGCCATCCCACAACAGGGCGGTGGAGCCAGCAGCAAATCACTGTTCCAGGGCATGGGGAGATGCTGAAGAGTGGAAACTTGAGGCCCATCTCTGTGTGTTCCAAATCTGCTAGAAGGTGTGGGTCTTTTCCTTTCTCCTCCACCCACCCCATCCTGGAGTCTGGCTTGTTGACCCAGCTGCTGCAAGGAAACAAAAGCCCAAATTGAAACTGAAACCCAACCGAGACCTTTTAATGTGAAGTGATTCCATTGCCCGAATCCAGACTCCCCTTTTAGCTGCTGTACCGCCTAAGTTTGCCAGGTGTTCTGGAGAATCTCTGCAGACCTAGTTAAGGTGCAAAGGGGAGAAGGAAGAAGAGGGGACTTCTCCAGTTGATTTGGGGCTTCAGGTCCTTGCAGGGCTTTCTGTGCACTCCAGAGGGGCTGAGAGAGGCTCAGGGATAGCCACATGTCCCTCCAGGCCATAAACCTCTGCTGAGAATGTCTTCTGTGCCAGGTGGAGGCTGGTGAATTAGGCGGAGCCCTGGCCGCCAGCGTGCTGCTTAAGCCTAGTTGTCGGGCTGGGCATGGAGCTGCTCATGCCTTCCCCTGGCTCAGTCCAGCAAGTTCCAGTCATCCCATACACATGCTGCTCTTCTGGGGAGTCTGGGAGGCGTGCGGGAGTAGAGACGGGAGCCATCTGGAGGGGGGAATGGGATTTTGCCAGGTGATTGGCAAAGGGCAGGTCTAGAGAGCAGCAGTGCAGAGGTGAGGCCCCTCACGGGAGCCGAGCTGTTCTGGGATGTCAGCACCTCCCTGTGAATTAGTTACACGTGAAGAACTCGGCCTTTTTTTTTTTTTCCCTGATACTGGGAATTGAACCAAGGGGCACTTGACCACTGAACCACATCCCCAGCCCTGTTTTATATTTTATTTAGAGACGGGGTCTCACTGAGTTGCTTAGGGCCCCACCATCACTGAGACTAGTTTTGAACTCGTGATCCTCCTGCCTCAGCCTCCAGAGCTGCTGGGATTACAGGTGTGTGCCACCATGCCTGGCCTTTTCTTATGATCTACCTATTATGTGTTATCCATATATTGGTTTTCAGGCATAAAATGAAGAATACCACTTACTCTCTAAAATATTGTGAATTCTTAATAAAATTTATGTAAAATATCCTGCACAATTTGTGGGTCTCCAGGCTTTCAAAGCCGTGGGCTTTCCACTGAACTGTGTAGCCTAGCGAAGGCACATTGGAGGAGTTTTCCCATCTTCCTGAGTTAGGTTCCAAACAATCGGACCACCTGGTATACAGTTTCCCTGTTTGCAGATTTAATTTCCAAAAGAAGACTTTACTTTTTGTTTCCTTTTTTATATTCCTAAATACCAAGCTTGCTGTCCATTGTATGAGAGCTGCAGTGACTTCCGGCACTGCTTCCTAGGAAGCTGAGAGACCTGGGATAAGTTAGTTCCCGTCTCTGGGCCCAGTTTCCTGGTATGTACAATAGGGCTGTTGTAAGGATTCCTTATGTGAAGACCCCAGCAGGGCCTGGTGGTGGTGGTGAGAGCCAGGCACCCTGACATGGAAGGGGTGAGGGTTGCCCTCTTGGGAACAGCCTGGGGGTGAGTGTGGAGAGCCTGGGAGGGAAGATGAGTTTTGCCTTCTTTTTCTAGGAAGCCTGTGACCTTTGGCTGCTGAGCTTGGGCCTGGCGCCTGTTGCAGATGCCACTGTTCTACCCTGACCCTGGGAGGCCTGGGCACAGGGCAGTGAGGGAAGGGACCATGTGTCTGGCCAGCTCTTGTTTAACTCTCATCCACATTTTCTCTGGGCCTGATGCTGACAAGTCCAGGCAATCAGGCCCCTTTCTTGTTCCCCTTCACCCACCTCTCCTGCTTCAACACAGCCAGAGTCACCGAGTCTGCCTCTTGTTGGTTTAAGTGGCATTATAGTGTTCACCCCATTATCTCAGTTATTCCTTACACAGACTCTGCTGGATGGATCGTCCTGTTTAACTAGAAAGCTCAGAGAGGTTAAGTGATTCCTGAAAGTCACACAGCAATAGAGCACAGAGGGGCTCAGAGGAGGCCTTCCAAGGGTGGTCTGGGTTCTGCTTCTCTGGATGCAGCCTCAGACTGATTGATGCTAACTAAGCTCCCCATGGGTTTCTTTTCCCAAAAACCTTGGCAAAAAACTCCCAGCTCTCTGCTGGAAAGTCCATTCTATGTTCCACTCAGACTTCCCTCTTTATCATAAAATTCTAGACATTTCCCCCAGAGTGTCAAAAGTGAAAGAGGCATGGTGAGGGATTTCCACGTTCACCCCAGATTGTGGTTGAGCAGAAAGTTGGGGAGTGCCTCTGAGCCTCACAACCTCTAGCTGCTTCCTGAGCTGACTTTTCTAAGCAAAAAGAACAACCACACCCTCAGACCCGGTGGCAGCGGAAGCTGCCATTTGCAGCGTCCTGCCTGAGCTGAGCGTCTTACAGCTATTGCCTCATTTGACGCTCAGGACGATCCCAAGAATCAGGTGCTGTCAGTGTCCCTGGTTAACGGCTGAGGACACCGGCTGGGAGAAGCCGGTGAGCGGGCCCAGGGCTGTACTGCTAGTAAGTAGCGGAGCCTGGTGATCTGGGAGCCCTAATTGTAATCACTTGCTGTTTCTGAAAATTTAATCCATCTAGAAAAAAACATAGAAGTTTAAGCATTTTCCTACTTTCTCTAGTTTTCATACTCTTGAAATATTTCATAAAGAAACACAAGCAGCCGGGAGCAGTGGCACACGCCTGTAATCCTAGCAGCTCGGGAGGCTGAGGCAGGAGGATCTTGAGGTCAAAGCCAGCCTCCGCAACAGCAAGGCTCTAAGCAACTCACTGAGACCCTGTCTCTAAGTAAAATACAAAATAGGGCTGGGGATGTGGCCCAGTGGTTGAGTGCCCCTGAGTTCAACCCCTAGTAGCAAAAAAAAAAAAAAGAAACAAAACCCCCAAACCCTGAGAAGACTTTGGTGCCTGGATGGGTTAGGATGCTTCCTGAAAATGGCCTTGAGTGAAAGAAAAACATTCTTTTTGTTTTGCTTCACCCCTTGGCTTGGAAATTGTTCTAGAAGCGCCCTCACGTTCCACCCTGGCCTGCTGGTGCCCACAGCTGGGGTCTTGTACTGAGTCAGAGTCACAGAGTGAATGGGGGTCATTCTGCAGGGACTGGGACTGCAGGGGGTAAAGTCTGCCAGGCTGTCTCCTTTCTTCTTGCAGGAGGAGGGAATAGGCTGGGGTGCATATTCCAGCCTTGCCACTTTGGGGTGACTCCCCCCACCCCGCCTTATTACCCTGCCTGTGAAATGAGGCCTGTGCACCGTCTCTGCCTAACTTCTAGTCTGACCCGCTGTCCCCTTCAGCCATCACCTGTTCTGAGTCTCCCTCTGAGGTGCACAGGGGAATCATCCGGGAACTTGAGCGACGTATCAGGCCTGGGCTCTGACCCCGGGATCCTGCTCTGGCCACACCCCAAGAGCCTCTGAGTTTCCC